TCGACCTCCTGTCTCAAACACACTTAAAATAATGGAAACCATACAGAATGTGTTCACTGATCACAATGGAATCAAACTAGAAATCAGTAACAGAAAGATAAAACAGGGAAATCTCCAGACAGAAACTAAAAGCACACACTTTTAAAACAATCCAACATTCAAAGTAGTAGTCACAAGGAAAGTATAAAAAAAAAAAACTTAATTAAATGAAAGTGAAAATACATGTGAAACTTAGTGGGGCACAGCTAAAGTAGTGCTGAAATGGGAAAATATATTTTATTTTATTATTACTATTTTTGAGACAGAATCTCACTCAGCAGTCCAGGCTGGAGTGCAGTGGCCCAATCTTGGCTCACCGCAACCTCCCCTTCCCAGGTTCAAGCAATCCTGCCTCAGCCTCCCGAGTAGCTGGGACTACACGCATGCATCACCATGCTGGGCTAATTTTTGTATTTTTAGTAGAGACAGGATTTCACCATGTTGGCCAGGCAGGTTTCTAACTCCTGGCTCAAGTGATCCGCCCGCCTCAGCCTCCCAAAGTACTGGGACTACACGCGTGAGCCACCGTGCCCAGCCTGAGACACGAAAATTTGGAGCACTAAATGCTTACCTTAGAAAAGGAAAAAAGTTTCAACTCAATAATCTAAGCACTCACCTCAAGAACTAGAGGAGCAAAATAAACCCAAAGCAAGCAAAAAAAGGAAGATACTAAAAAAGAACAGAAATCAATGAAATTGCAAACAGAAAAACTGATGCAACAAAAAGCTGGCTTTTTGAGAAGATCAATAAATGTAACAATACTTTAGTGAGACTAACACAAAAAAGAGAGAGAACACAAATACCCAATACCGGGAATAAAATAGGGGATAGCAACATAGACTCTGTAGACTCAAAAGGATAACGTAACAACCCTACACACATAAATGTGACAACCCAGACAAAATGAACCAAATTCTTCAAAAGCATAAACGACCATGATTCACCCAATATAACAGAGGTCTATTTGAATACCCCTATAACTATGAAGGAAATTGAATCTGTAATGTAAAAACTCGGAAAGAAATATACAGGATCAGGCAGTTTCACTGAAGAATTATACTAAACATTTAAAAAATTAACACCAATGTACACAATCTCCTCCAGAATAGAGACGAGGAAACACTTGCCAACTCTTTTTATGAAGCCAGCATTATCTTGATACCACAAAAAGACACTACAAAAAAGAAAATTAGACAAACTCTTCTGAACAAAGATGCAAAAATCTTCAACAAAGTATTAATAAACTGAATTCAGCAATATTTAAAAACAGTAATACATTGCAACCAAGTAGACTTTATTCTGGGAATGCAAGGCTAGTTAAATACTCAAAAAGCAATCAATGTAATCCACCATATAAACACAACATAATATCAATTGATGCAGAAGAAATACTTGACAAAATTCAACATTTGTGAGAAAACTCTGAGCAAACTACTAATAGAATGGGACTTCTTCGACCTGGTAAAAGGCACCTATAGGCCAAGCACAGTGGCTCACGTCTGTAATCCTAACACTCTGGGAGGCTGCAGCGGCAGACTGTCTGAGCTCAAGAGTTCAAGACCAGCCTGGACAACATGGTGAAACTCCGTCTCAACTAAAAATACAAAAAATTAACTGGGTGTGGGGGTGCTCACCTGTAATCCCAGCTACTCAGGAGACAGAGGCACAAGAATTGCTTGAACCAGGGAGGCAGAGGTTGCTGTGAGCTGAGATCACACCACTGCACTCCAGCCTGGATGACAGAGTGAGATTCTGTCTCCAAAAAAAAAAAAAAAAAAAAATGCATCTATAATATAAAACAATTCTGGAAGACTGCTTTCCTCAGACTGGGAACAAGGTAAGGATATCTATTCTCACTACTCCTATTCATCATACATGAAGTTCTAGTCATTGTAATAGGAAACAAAAATAAATAAAACACAGATTAGGAAAAAAATAAATAAAACTTTCTCTATTCACAAGTGACATGATTATCTCTGTAGAAAAACCCATGGAATCTACCAAAAATTTAAAAACCAAACCCTGAACTAATGAGTTTAGCAAAGTCAGAGGACATATGTACAACACACAAAATTCAATTGTATTTCCACATACAATGTACAATTTGAAACCAGTATTTTTTAGAATGAGATTTACAATAGCTCAAAAAACATTAAATACTTAGGTATAAATGTAACAAAACATGTACACAATCTGTATGCTGAAAACTATAAAACACTAAACAAATCAAAGACCTAAATAAATGGAAAGACATATCATGTTCATGGATTGGGAGACTCAACAAAGTAAACTTAGCAATTTTCCCTAAATTGATCTGTGGGTGTAATATAATTTCAGTCAAAGCACCAGCAAATTTTTCTGTATCCACAAGTTGATTCTAAACTTTATACACAAAGGTAAAAGAATCAGAATAGCTAAAACAATTTTGAAAAAGAATGAAACTGGAGGAAATTATACTACCTAGTTTTAAGACATTACAATGCTAAATTAACAAAGTGTGATACTGGCCAAGGGAAAGTTAAGTAAATCAGTGGAACAAAACAGGCCCAAAATAGACCCTCACAAATAAAGCCAATTGATTTTTAACAAAGGTGCAAAAGCAATTCAATGGAGAGAAGACAGTCTTTTCAACAAATGCTGATGGAACAACTGGACGTCCATAAGCAAAAAAGTAAACCTTCACACCTTATACAATTAACTAAAATGGATCACAGATCTAAATGGAATACTTTTATAAAACAATTTTTAGAAGGAGAAAATCTTGACCTGTTAGGCAGAGTTCTTAGACATGACACCAGAAGATCCATAAAAGGAAAAATTGATACTGGACTTCACCAAAATTAAAAACACTGCTGTCTGAAAGACACTGTTAGAAAGAAAAGACAAGACAGACTGGAAGAAAATACCTGAAAAACATGTAACTGACATATAATTTGTATCCAGAACATAAAAAGAACCCTCAAAATTCAACATAAGAAAACAGACCAATTTAAAAATGGGCAAGAGACTTGGCCAGATACCTCACCAACGACTCCATGTGGCAAATGAACACATGAAAACATGTACAACATCTTTAGCCATTAGTTAAAGGCACATTAAAACCACAATGAGATACCACTACACACCTATTAAAATGGCTAAGTCTTAAAAAACTGACACTACCAAATGCTGCGAGTATGTGGAGCAACTAGAACTCTCACATGTTGCTTGTGGGAATGCAAAATGACACAGACACTCCAGAAAAGAGTTTAACAGTGTTTTTTTTAAATTAAACATACATTTACCATATGACCCTACAATCCACTTGTAGCAATACCCTAGAGAAATGAAAACATGTCCATACAAAAAACCTTTACATGGTATTTACAGCAGATTGATTCATAATCACAGAAAACTGAAAACAACCTCAATGTCCTTCAATGGGCAGATGTAGAAACAAACTGTAGCATTTCCACATAATAAAACAGTACTCAGCAATAAGAAAAGAAATTACCCATACATGAAACAACTTGTAAAAATCTTAAAGGCATTTTGCTGAGTGAAAAAAAAGCTAATATCCAAAGATTACCAACTGTTATGATTCCATTTCTAGAAAATATTAATAATTGCCAGGGGTAAGGAGTATGATATAAAGGGATCACATTAGGTTTTTTTTTTTTCTGTGAGGGCGGGGAGTGATAGATTTGTTCTACATCCTTATTGTAGTGGTGGTTACATGAGTCTAAAATTTGCAGAACTGTACACCGAAAAAAAGATCAATTTTACCATATACTTTTAAAAATAATACATTAATTTCCTTAAAATAAATTTAAAGAGGCCGGGCGCGGTGGCTCAAGCCTGTAATCCCAGCACTTTGGGAGGCCGAGACGGGTGGATCACGAGGTCAGGAGAGCGAGACCATCCTGGCTAACACGGTGAAACCCCGTCTCTACTAAGAAATACAAAAAAAAAAATAGCCGGGCGAGGTGGCGGGCGCCTGTAGTCCCAGCTACTCGGGAGGCTGAGGCCGGAGAATGGCGTGAACCCGGGAGGCGGAGCTTGCAGTGAGCTGAGATCCGGCCACTGCACTCCAGCCTGGGCTACAGAGCGAGACTCCGTCTCAAAATAAATAAATAAATAAATTTAAACAAAAAAGCCAAATTAAATGTTAACAGGCAGTCAGACTCTTGCTTTTCAGAAACTACTCCATAGACTTAAAGCACTAGGTCAAAACAATTACGTTCCTAGAAATAAGCATAATTCTGAGTATAATTAAAGACCTTGACAATACTTTATATAAACACCCTTTCCCCAAAACTTAACATTTTGCTAATGCAGTCTAATAAATTAGAAAAACAAAGGGTGAGTTAACTCACCAATCAAAAGGTTGTTTTCTCACAACGGCCTTTATTTAAGTAGAAGTACAGTTATATTTGTAAAAATACTGAAAAACTTCTTAGGGTCAATGAAATTACCTGGATGTTAGGAGATATATAAAAACCTAGAGAAGTTAACAGCCCTTTTCAGACCCCACTGCCACTTCACTAGCTCTTGATAAGGAAGTTCTTACTCTCACACGCTCTCACGTTCTTACTCCAGGGAACTGCCGATGGCTCCTCGGATCTCCGAGTAAAGTTAAGTCTGTAGCAACCAGTGTCAATGGAACAGCACAATTTGGCTCATTTATATTCCAGCACTCTATGAGCAAGAAACTAGGGAAGGGTGGGGTCGCGGATAAAGAGGGGTCGCACTGCAGGGAGAAGAGGAGTCTACATGCCTTGATGGAGTTGAGGACCCTCTTCGCCGTCAAACCTAACCTGAGCACTTCACGCTCTCACCGGTGTCCGGCCCAGCCTGGGTCGCCCCTTCCCCATTCGGGACTCGGGGCAGGCAAAAAGCCGAACTCTCGGCCAGACTGGGGCCGCAGCGCCGCCCCCGCTCCATCCCTCTTTCCCGCCCACCTGGCAATTCCAGGTACCGACCGCTGGGAGCTGGGAGGGGGCGCCGGGCTGGCGCTGCCGCCCACCTTCTCTAGCTGGAACTTGGGATCGGTGCTCAAGGGCGGGAGAGCCGGCGCTCGGCTGTTCGAACCCGGGGATGGGGGAGCCGGGCCTGGAGGCCCCTGCCCACTCCCGAGAGTAAGGCACAACCCGGGACCCTGGGGAGAAGCTGACTCTTCCCCAGTGGAGCCGGACGAACCCCCAGCCGCTGGAGAGGGCGAGTGAGTGCAGCGCCGCTGCACCGCAGCGCGAGCCGCTACTCACCGTCCCCCGCCCGCCGCGGACCCGCCGCCCGGCGCCACCGGCTCCTCCTGGTCGCGGCGCAACCGCTGCCGCCGCTGCCTCCTCCCGACGCGCCAGTTCTCCCTGCGGGGCTGCGCGGCTAGTTCGCACCCTCTTTCGTTCTCTTAAGAATGATTATGATTTTTAAACGAACTTTATTGGTAGCCAGGGCTCAGATTGAGTGGCTCAGCAGCAGCTCCGATGGGGATGGTGGGGCGCGGGAGTCTCGACTCCCCTCATCTGTGGACCCGCCGCGCTGCGGAGCATGCGCCGTGCTTCGTTTGCGCGTGCTCTGTGCAGACCAGCGGCCCTGCCCCGCCCATGTTCTGGCGGGTGGCGGGCGGCAGCTCAGCTTTCCAGGCGCCTCCAAGGGATCCCGGGAGGGCAGTGGGGAGACCAGAGGCGAGCAGGATCTCCTAGATCGTGAACTCTAGAAAAGAGAAATAGGCCAATGACGGTCTGCATAAGTTTCACAGAGTTATCACACTTTCAGAGTCCTCAAAGGGCTTGCCCCGCATCGGACACATACCTTATTTTCTTGACCAGATGACATCTTAAGTGGCCGAGTGAGCAAAAAATGTCGAACAAAGTCGAAAACGCACACACACAGCCTGCAGGATTTGGCTGGACAAAATAGAAGCCTGAGATGGTTAATTATTCAGAGAAGCAAACCAAAAACGAAAAGGTCCCGCAAAAGCAATCTCAACTTTGTTTGCTTCAGTTGTTTTTATATTTCAAAATAAAATAGAATAGAAAAAAAAGATGGAAAATACCAAGTGTTGGCCAGGATGTAAAGTCACTGCATTCTTCTACTCTGCTGCTGGAATGTAAACTGGAACAACTCCTTTGAACAACAGTTTGGGACTGTCTGCAAAAGGTGCATACCCTATGGACCCGCAGTTCCACGCCTCCATATAGAGCAAAGAGAAACGAATACTTAGGGTGCACCGACAGTCAGGTATCAGAATGTTCGTAGCTGCATTTATTGTAATAATTCCTTAATGAGAATAACCCAAAAGACCATCAACAATAGAATAAATGAATGAAATTACACAGGGTTCGCATAATAAAACACTATACAGCAACGCAAAGAACCATCTGCAATAATTACGGGCAACAACGTGGATCAACTGCGGAAACCTAATGTCCAGCATAAAAAGACAACAAAAGTACACATGGCATAAGTCCATTTCTATAAAGTACAAAAACAGAAGAACTAAGCTGCTCAAAGTTAGCATAATGGTTACCTTGGTGGGCAGGGGATAGTGACTGGAAGGAGTTAGCAACTAGAAGAGGGGCTTCCAGTTAGCAACTGAAAGAGGGGCTTCCTTCTAGTAAGGTTCTCTCTATTGATTTTGGCGCTAGTTATAAAAGCATGTCCATTTGTGAAAATTCATGCTGTACTCTTATGCACATTTTTCTGTATGTGAATTATACTTCACACTTAATAATTTTAAAAATTAAGTGGAGATTGTTTTACTTATAATAGCAATAGTATTTGTAAGAAATTTAATATCAAGTAGCTAACAGATTTATCTCTAGGATTTGGTTGGCAGTCTCTTAAATTTGAGTAACATACTGATGCCCTTTCTGAGAAAGAAAAAAAAAATGATTAAAAAGTTGGCAAATGACTTGAATAGACATTTCTCCAAAGAAGAGATACAAATAGCCGATGAGCCCATGAAAAGAGACTCAAGGTCACTAATCATGAGGGAAATGCAACTCAAAACCATGAGATACAACGTCACACTCATTAGAATGATGATTATAAACAAAGCAGAACAGAAAATAAATAAGAGTGTTGGCAAGGATGTGGAAAAATTACAACCTTTGTGTGCTGCTGGTGGGAATGTAAAATGGTACAGCCACTATGGAAAATTGTATGGTTCATCAGAATATGAAAAATAGAATTATCATATGATTAAATAATTCCACTTCTGAGTATATATCCAAAAGAATTGAAAACAGGGACTCAAAAAAGACATTTGTTCAACCATGTTTATAGCAGCATTATTCACAATAGCCAAAGGGTGGAAGCAACCCAAGTGTCCATCAATGGATGAATGGATGAACAAAGTGGTGTATACATGCAGTAAAATATTATTCAGCCTTAAAAAAGGAGGGACCCAGGCGTGGCGATGTATCCCTGTAATCCCAGCTACTTAGGAGACTGAGATGGGAGGATCACTTGAATCCAGGAGTTCAAGACCAGCCTGGGCAAATCCTGTCTCAAAAATAAGAGAGAGGGAAATTCTGACACATGTTACAGCATGGATGAAGCTTGAAGACATTATGCCTAGTCACAAAAGGACAAATGCTGTATGATTCAACTTATCTAAGGTACATAGAGTAGTCAAATTCATAGATACAGTTGGGGGGTGGGAAGTGGTTGTGGGGAAGGAAGGGCAGGTGGTGAATGGGGAGTGAGTATTTTATGTCTACAGTTTTAGCTTTGCAAGATGAAAAAAATCTGGAGATAGATGGTGGTGATGGTTGCACAATGATGTGAATATACCTGATGCTCTTGAACTTTATACTTAAAAATGGCTAAAAATGATAAATTTTATGTTTTATGTATATCTTGCCAAATTTCTTTTTAATGGGAGAAAAAAAAAAAGAAAATCCTAGAGGGTCTCAGAGAGTACGTCTGAGATCCAAATTTGAGAAAAACTTCCTGAAAAAGGGTTCTCCCAAAATCATTTCTTTCCTCCCCACTTTTCCATTTCGTTGGGACTGTTGGACATTGAAGGAGATCCAGAATATGCCACCCCAAAATATGCTACTTTGTCATAAGGATTATTTTGAGCTGAAGGCAATTAAGAAACAGCAGAACAGAAGAAACACTCTGCTTTTCCCATTTCTGCCTAAAAGCAGGCTATAAATTTCCCTTTGTGAAGCTGTTCCTCCTCCCCATCCCATACTAGGAGGAGGAGATTCCTATCACCAAAGCACCAACTTGAGTCATATGGCAAACCTTGCAAAATAACCTTTGTCTTCCAATAGTTCCCCTCATATAGTTTAATCGGCCACAATTTACCACCTTCACAAGTCCCACCCCTTTTTCCTTTGTCTTATCACTTCTCCACAATTTATCACCGTTTTAAAAAATGGTATATAAGTTCTTAGGCCTAACTGTTTTTGGGATTTTCACTTGTTTTCTGTGAGGCCCCCCATGTGCATATGAAATAAACCTTTTCTCCTGTTTATCTGTCATTTGTCAATTTAATTTGCAGGCTTCTGCTACTGAACTTACAAGAGTAGAGAAAAAGTGTTTATCCTCCCTGCAGACATGCTCAGTGCAATTAAAGTCTACTTTTTATTTGACTTGAGGCTGCTCCCAAGGACACAGCAGAGATTCTCATGCTCTCACTGAAGGCAGTGAAATAATGAAAGCCTGCAGGGAAACCTGGCCTTTTAAATCATGTAGTTGTGCTATAGTAGAAATAGCAACAGAATTAACCTAAAAGGGTTTGAAAGAAATTTTACCTGCAGTGACTAGAAATGAGTTTCACAAATTTATTTTAATGAAAACATTCTGAAACGTTAGTTATTAAGTCATTAAATGATTGTTTGAATCTAGTACCTCCACTGACCCAGCAAAAAATGTCCATTTAGTCCCTTGCTCGTTCTTCATTGTGTCTGACTCTGATGAGCTGAATAGTGTCCAAGGATCATGAATTGTAGTTGAGTTGAAAGAAAAACAGAAAAATCAAAAAATATTTTCTTCCAAAAAAGAAACCTTTGAAAATTTTTACCACTTAGAATATAAGTCTGCATATAAATGTGAATGCATATGTGGCCATCTGGAAAAACCTAGTAGAAATCACAGTATTGGTCTAGACAGTAATAATCTACTGTTCTTCAGAATCATACAGACCATCCTGGAAAAAAATTTTTTTTCTAGTACTTTCTAGCTAGACATTAGAATACTGATCCAGTTCCTCTGTTGCTTAAGCTTGGATCTTAGTATCCTCATCTATACTAAGGAGTTACCCACCTTACAAGGTCATTTATCCATTCAAAAAAATATGTATTGTGCGGACTACTGTGCTGAACATTGTGTATTCAGTAATAGACAAAAGGCAGATGGTTTGTGTCCTCTGGGAGCTTATAATGTCTTAAGGGAGACCAAAAAAGAAAGTATACAAATATACACATATGCACACATATACATAAATAAATGATTACATACCCTTAGACATTATGTGAAAGTAAATAACTGGTATGATGGAAGCGTGTAAGAGGGAGCCCTAATTTATGCTGGAGAACCAAGGGAAGGCCGTTCTTATATAGTGATTTTTTTTTTTTTTTTTTTTTGAGACGGAGCCTCGCTCTGTTGCCCAGGCTGGAGTGCAGTGGCATGATCTCAGCTCACTGCAAGCTCCGCCTCCCGGGTTCACGCCATTCTCCTGCCTCAGCCTCCCGAGTAGCTGGGACTACAGGCGCCCGCCACCTCCCCTGGCTAGTTTTTTGTATTTTTTAGTAGAGACGGGGTTTCACCGTGTTAGCCAGGATGGTCTCGCTCTCCTGACCTCGTGATCCGCCCATCTCGGCCTCCCAAAGTGCTGGGATTACAGGCTTGAGCCACCGCGCCCGGCCCTGATATAGTGATTTTTAAGCTGTAATCTGAAAGATAAATGAGTTAGGTAAAAAATAGACAGAAAAAGACTTTAAGCAGAGACAACAGGAAGTACGATGGCCTGAGGCAGCAAACAACTCACTGGGTTGAAATAATTGAAAGGGAGCCAGTATGCAGGAGTGAGGTGGAAAGCAGCGGGTAAAAAATAAAGAATAGTAGTGAGGGAGGCAGGGGGCAGATCATGAAGACCTTGCAGGTCACGTTAGGTAATTTGGATTTTATCTCAAGTGTATTGGGAAGCCACTGGAGGATTTTTTAGTGCACAGACTAGGAGATTCACTGGACAGTTTTAAAAAATTCCTCTGACTGCCATCTAGGGAAAACACAGAGTAGTGGAAAATGGGAGAGCAATGGAAGGGCGGTTCAGGCAAGAGATGATGGAGGGTTAGACTGAGGTGGTTACAGGGGTGATACAGAAAAGTGCATTTGTTTTTAATCTTGGAAGTAGAACCTATAGGATTTGGCTATGGTGTAGGAAAAAAATGGAATGTCAAGAGTGACTCACAGGATTCTTGAATGACAGCCTTGCTGAGATTGGTCACTAAGGAACTAGTTACTACCCCTCACAGTGTGAGTTGGGGAATAATCTGTTCATTCTAAATTCCTTTTTGTTTTATCCTTGATTGTTCT